ATGTCTGGGCCTACAGGAGGAATGTTCAAAAATAGTCGAAAAAATAGTCTGGGGACGATGTCTCGACTGTGTTTTGGTTATGTTGGGATATATTTGAACATTTCCGATGTGTCCTCCAAAATCCGCCTGTAGGAGGACATGCCCGACCTGACGACAGGGGGGGATAGGGGATAGGCATAGGGGGGGGGGGACGCACCGACCCCCCCAATCGTCTATTCATCGCCGAGAGGGGCCCGATAGCGCAACCCCGCCCGGGAACGTGCGGACTCACGATCGGGGGCCCAGCGCCGATCTACCGGCGATGTATCGCCGATGCCAGGTCGATGTTCCCCCAGCCTGTGCCAGTCCCCCCCCGTCGTAGCCCCCCAAGAGGGCGGGGTCGGACGAGCAGGGGGATCAGCCCCCCTCTTGTACAACACCAGAGGAAGAGCGGATACAGACACCGCAGCTCGTCCTGGAGGGCCCTCGCCGCCAGTGCTGGGTTCTCCTCGAGAGTCTGGTCAGGATGCACCCCGGGAGAGGCCTTGGGAGTAGCGGTGTCGGTCCCGTGTTGGTGTCCCCACCCACTGCACGGTCCGCCTCGATCCGGCCGATCCGATTCGGTAATTAGCGGGGTCGGCCGGCCCGATCCCCGACTCGATTCCGATGTTCCGACGATCCGATGCGGCCCGAGGCTCGCATGGCGGCGTCATACATCCTGGCGCGGCCGATAAAAATGGGCGGTCGCCTGCATGTCGGCTCCACCATTGGGCTTCTTCCTCTGAAGATTGGCCCCCCCAGGGCCAGGAGGCGCTGGGAGAATCAGCTGCGTGATTCGCTACTCCCCCCCACTTACTCCCCCCCCCTCCGCCCGACCCAGGAAGAGGGGGTCGAGGGGCAAGATCTGGGGCGCCGTGTCAAAATGCATATCGCCAGCTGTCGCAGGGGCCCGTTGAAGGAGCTGCTCGACTTAGAGCCGCACCCCGCGAGCCTCCTGGACTCTCCCTCGGGCGACGTGGCTGCATCCCGATGCCTGCCCAGCAGGTGGAGAGGGCGGTGCTGACCAGGGGACTTTAGGAGGGTGTAAGCGTGTGTGTGTGTGTGTGTTGGCAGAACGACCAGGGCGATGAGATCCTCCAGCTCTCAGGCCCCTTCCCCTTCTTCTTTCAATGCGCCCTGTGGCCCCCACGTCGTCCTCGCACATGCCTCGGGCCATGATGCGCTACCCCCCTTTTTCCCGGAAAGGGCCTGGGCCCAGGGTTCTCTTTTAGTTGGTAAACCTAATCCCCCGGTGCCTGCTTGAGGGAGGCCGGCGAATTTTTTCCCTGATAAATAACGAGGTCGAAGGAGGCCGGCGAATTAAAATTTGAGGATGTCTCGAGCGAAACGCTTGTTTTTGAAATCCCGATCGATAAATCACAGGGTGCGGGCCACTTTTTCGTGTGTTGAGGATGTCTCGAGCGAAACGCTTGCTCCGCAGAGTTTGCCGAGGATGTCTCGAGCGAAACGCTTGTTTTGCAGAGCCGACCGCGACGCGGAAAAGCGCCCCGCGCGAAGGAATTTCGATGATGTCTCGACTAATTCGTTTGTTTTTGTACGATTTCCTGGAATTTTGGCAGGATGTCTCGAGCGAAATGCACGACCCCACCCTAGCACGACCATACCCCAGCACGACCACACCCCAGCACGACCAGACCCCAGCACGACCCCACCCCAGCACGACCCCACCCCAGCACGACCATACCCCAGCACGACCACACCCCAGCACGACCCGACCCCAGCACGACCCTACCCCAGCAAGCCCACACCCCAGCACGACCACACCCCAGCACGACCTCACCACAGCACGACCACACCCCAGCACGACCACGCCCCAGCACGACCACGCCCCAGCACGACCACGCCCCAGCACGACCACCCCCCAGCACGACCACACCCCAGCACGACCACCCCCCAGCACGACCACACCCCAGCACGACCACACCCCAGCACGACCACTCCCCAGCACGACCACACCCCAGCACGACCACACCCCAGCACGACCACACCCCAGCACGACCACACCCCAGCACGACCCCACCCCAGCACGACCCCACCCCAGCACGACCCCACCCTAGCAAGACCACACCCCAGCACGACCACACCCCAGCACGACCTCACCACAGCACGACCACCCCCCAGCACGACCACGCCCCAGCACGACCACGCCCCAGCACGACCACGCCCCAGCACAACCACCCCCCAGCACGACCACCCCCCCAGCACGACCACACCCCAGCACGACCACCCCCCAGCACGACCACACCCCAGCACGACCACTCCCCAGCACGACCACACCGCCTTGGTTGAGTGGTTGCCTGTCGTCGTGGAATGTTTCGTGGGGTGTCTCGTGGAATGTTTCGCGGGGTGTCTCCTGGAATGTTTCGTGAGGTGTCTCGCGGAATGTTTCGTGAGGTGTCTCGTGGGATGTTTCGTGAGGTGTCTCGTGGGATGTTTCGTGAGGTGTTGCCCCGTTGGGTATCGTGAAAACGTGCCCATGCTCCACATGTCTATATCCCTTTCCGGGTTCGTGGGTCCATCATGTTTTAGCGCCCTCTCCGGCGCACCCGACCAAGGGGGCTCGCCGTGTTCGTCGTCAAAGGCCGTTGTCGCCACCATCGTCGTACAGTCGTCGGGTTCGTCACCGAAGGCCGTTGCCGTAGTCATCGTCGTAAAGTCGTCGTCGCCGCCGCCGTAGTCATGTTCGTTGTCGGCAGTTGTCGTCGTCCATCTCTTCTCTCCCTCCCTTTTCCTCTCCCTTATCCTCCTCGTCCTCCTCCTCCTCCTCCTCCTCCCTTTCCGCCCTCTGGCGACAGTACGTTCGACGACGGCGACGACGTCGACGACGACGGCGGCGGCGACGAGGACGGCGGCATGGTCGTCGTATCCAAAATACGTTGCCAAGTGACCGCGCCGCGCCCGAAGGTCGCGCAGGTGATCGGCGTTCAGAACATCGCCGCGTGGACGGAGTACACCAAGGCGTGCTCCTGTGTGAGTCCCAAGCTTCGCTTTCCACACCTCGAATGCGGACACACTTGGCGGGTTCAAGAAAGGTCCTCGCCTTCGGAGACCAAAGGAATTGTTATGTCTTTCTCGGCGGAAGGCGGCGGAAGGCGGCGGAAGTGAAACGAGGACGCCTCCGCCAGCGGAATGCCGGGGAAGCCGGCGGAAGTAAAACATCTCCCGCCGAAGAGATGGTATCTTTTTTGTGGTTTATGGTGTCTGGAACCGGCCACTTGAGGCGGCTGGCCTCTGGGAAAGCTAAAATCACAGTGTGGTCATATTGCGGACGTTGCGCTTGAGAACCTCCGAAAGTGTTTCCCAATCGTTCAGGGGCAGATTGCAAGGAAGGTGCAGTCAGCGCCTCCCGCCTCGCCCGCCGCCGCGGGCATCGGCGAGTCTGTCGGCGTTCGGCGTTCCACGCCGTTGCCGCCGGGCTCGACCCAAGGCCAGAGGTCGAGTCCGCATCGGTCGCCCGTGCAAGCTCACCCCCCCATTGAACGGGTCGAGGCGGTCCCCTCGGGCCTGCGGGCCACAGCCCCCGACCCAGGCCCACGGGAAGACACGCTTGCGATGCCCGCTCCCCGTCGCCTTCGCGCTGCCAGGGCGGCCTGCGCGTGTCGGGCCACGCCGCAGGGCGGGCGGGCAGCAGAGGAGGAGGAGGAGGGGAGAGGACGGGCCCGCGCGTTGCTGCCGGCAGCCAGGCCCAGCGCATGTGCAGATTGCAGGTGGCATCAGGCACATGATTTTTGGGCACGCTCGAGGAGGAGGGCGGACGGGGAGAGGCACCAGACCCCTGGAGAGCGTGCCCGTCGCCGTGCTCCCGTACTTCGTGGGCGGCCGACTTCCACCATTCAGGAGGGGGGAAAAAAAAAACAGACACAATTCATCGGCGATCCCCAGAAGATATGGGAAAATGTGGGAAGTGGGGGGGAAGACAAAAACCCCAAAAAAATATAGGAAAATATGGGAGATATGTTCATTTGTGTGTATTTATTCGTGTGTCCCAGGGCCCCTTCCACCATGCCGGGGCCGCTGCGAGCGGTACGGTGTGGCCGAGCGCGCCGGTCTCGGCCACGCCGGGGGGCCCCCATCATGGGGGCCCCGGGCACGGCAGGCCGGCGCCACGCACGCCGCCTTTGGTTTCCGTGGGCCCCCGTCGGGAGCTCGGCTTGCCCTCGGAGGTGGTTTTCATTATCCGCCAGCATGGGAAGCAAGCTGCCTGTCGCGCACGGCGCGAGGCAAGAACTGCACCGCTGTGGCACGCCGCTTCCCCCCTTTGTGACAGGGGCCAGCCTTCCTGGTGAGCGTGGCGCGAGTCGGGTCGAGTCGGGCCCCCCTCGGGCGGGACCAGTCTGAAGACGACTCGGCACAAAGAGCTGGCCTTGGGGGAGGGCCGCAGCGCACGGGGCCCGGTTCCCTCGGGACCCGCTCGTGTCACACCGAGCAGGCGTCCCAGGTTGAACGCCGCCAGTGGCCCGGAGTCGGCTGACATCCAGGGGTCCGCGCTATCAGAATGCCGCGGCCGTCGAGATTGAAAGAGTCACGCGGTATCAGGAACCAGCGCACGAGTCGTCACGACACGAACCGGCCACACGTCCTCACGCGTCGGACCATGAGACCTGCATGAAGTATCCGAAGAGGACCGCAAGGGGCAGCCATTGTGCTGTGGCGTCCATGCTCCGAGCGCTGGCCAGGGCCATCTGCCGCCCGATACGGGCTTCCGTGAGGAATCCGAGCGGTGGGTGCGACTGCTTCCGCGCAGAAGTTCACGGGCACGAGTTCGACCCCGAGGGCATTGCGACGCCGTTATATTTCGACGGCGGGGATTATTGTGACCTCGCAGACGAGGTGTGGGCGCGCAGCCAGGAACTGGGTCACGAGTTCAGGGGCGCGGGGCGCGCGCCGAATTGCGCGAAGATAGCGCGCGCGCCGAAGACCAAGATGGACCGAGAACACGAGGAAAAATGGACCCGCGGAACTTCATCCATGAACTGATCAGAGCCCGCGGGAGGCGCAATGTGAAAAGACAACACCGAAAAGGGGCACACCAGTTCCTTGACTGGGCCCCCGCGAACTTTCGTCCTTCGGCTTTTCACGAGGACGAGGACAAGCAGGCGCCCAGGGGGGGAAGGCAAGCCTCGAGGGCGAGCGATCATTGGAAGCAGGCCATCATAGTAGACCCTGTCGACCCGCCTGCAAGAAACCCCCTCAGTGTCAGGCGCCCGACCGCGCCGAGCGGTCAAAGTCCACGCGCCAGGGGCGGCGCGCGACAGTCTGGAGCCCCTGCGCTCCGACAAGACGTCTCCAAAGACCGCAGAGGCGGGGCCCTCTGCACGCGCATTCTGCGGGGCGGCGCCCATGGAACCCCCGGGGCTGGAGACGCTGACAGCTCGCGCCTTCGCCGAGAAAGGAATGCGACGTCGCAGAAACAATGCGATCACAGCTTTCGGACCCCATATATGGTCGAGGTTTTTGGCCCCCCCCAATGCTAATGCCATCGGGCCCCCCCCCCGCGCGATGCCCGCCCCTCTGTGGGCGTGGGCGTGGCGTGGTGGCTCCCCCCCCCCCTGTGGATGTGGTGTGGGTGTGGTGTGTTGCTGTGGGTGTCTGCGGGGTGACGCCATGGTCCTCCTCCCCCCCTCCCTCCCCCCCTGTGGGTGCGGTGTGGGTGCGGCGTGTGGCTGGGATTGGCGTCATGTTGACAGCTCCGGTGCTCGACGTCGTCGCCACCTCCGCTGGTGGTGCCGTCGACGTCGTCGTCGTTGTCGTCGTCGTCTTTGTCGTCGTCGTCGTTGTCGGTGTCGTCGTCGTCGTCGTCGTTGTCGTCGTTGTCGGTGTCGTCGTCGTCGTCGTCGTCGTCGTCGTCGTCGTCGTCGTCGTCGTCGTCGTCGTCATTGCCGTCGTCGTCCTCATCCTCCTCCTCCTCCTCCTCCTCCTCCTCCTCCTCCTCCTCCTCCTCCTCTTCCTCCTCCTCCTCCTCCTCCTCCTCCTCCTCCTCCTCCTCCTCCTCCTCCTCCTCCCCCCCCCCATCCCATCTGGGGGAGGGAGGGGGACCCGAGGACCCTGGGACCCATCCCATCTGGGGGGGGGGGGGCCGAGGACCCGGAGCCCGCGATCATATGTTGTTCCAATTTCGAGCTGGGCCGATCCTTGAGAGCCCCAGGGCCAGAATCGGGCAGAATTGCCGTTGTGCGTTTATTGCGCATGCTCGCGCGCGCGTTGTGTGCCATGTGTGCTGCGTTTGCACGCACGCGTTCGTTCGCGCGCGCGCGCGCTCGCATGCCGTCGCGCGCACGTGCGCGCACGATGTGCTGCGTGCCTGCGGGCGCGTGTGCGCTTGTTCAAATGCGCGCGCCGCGCGTTGCGCGGCGTGCGTTGCGCGCGGCGCGCGCGCGCGCGTTGCGCTTGACGTGCGCGCGCGCGTTCGCCCCGCGACCGCTCGGAGCCCCAGGGGGAAACGGTCGAACGCGGCTCTTGGGGCCGCGGGCCACGGATGGCCCGCCGTCGGGAGCTGGGAATCGCCGGCGTCGTCGCAGGACTTCCGACGGGCCGTCGGTTCAGCCCGCGAGTCCCAGAGAGCTCGACCTTTTCCCCGAGGACGCGCGTTCGCCCTGAGGGCGCGCCAAGCGACGGCCCCAGAGGCCTGGGAAGAGCCCCCGGGAGCTGAGACAGAGGGGGCGCTGAGGGGTTGGTCAAAAACGGGTTCGGACCCCCGCGACTTCGTTGGTTTGCGGGGGAAGAGAGAGAGATAAAGAGAGAGAGAGAGAGAGACAGAAAGAGAGCAAGAGAGGAAAAGATACAATGAGAAAGGGAGAAAGAGAGAAAATGAGAGAGAGAGAAGCAAATATATATATATATATAGACATACAAAAGAGAGGTGGGAAAAGAGAGAGAGGGGCTCACGCCCCCTTTGCCCTCCTCCTCGTCCGCCCCTCTGCTCCCCCTCCTTCATCCCCCTCCTCTTCCTCCCTCTGGCCTGCGGCTTCTGCTTCGGAGCGGGGATCGGCCTCCAGGCTGGCCTCCTTTTGGGCGTGCGTCTTGCACTCCGGGCGACGTCCTCCATGCAGCATCGCATCCGCCGCTTCCGTCCCGGAGTGGGGCCTCGTCCTCCCCTCCTCGCCCCGCTCGTCCTCCTCCCCCATCGGCGTCCTCTTCTCTTCGCCCTGTCTCGTCCTGCTCCACATCACCCCCCACCCACTGTGCTGACTTGTGACGCCCATGTTGCCGCCGAGATTCGGCCACGCTCGCAGGGCACCTCTGTCCTGGCCGCGTCGCCGATAACAACGACCACCGCGAGGATTGTGGCTTGGGTTCGGCACTGTTTCCGTTTCTATTCCTGGGGGGGTTTGGGGGGCAGCAACACGTTGCTTTTCTTGAACCCAGTTTGAATCCTCCACACGCTCCTTCCCGACGTGCGGGATCGCGCCGTCGCCAGGCGTCGTCGATAGAGCGAGACGCGTCCCCCCTCCCCCCTCGAGG